TCTTGCCCTTACTTCAGGTCCCGCGAGTTTCAAGACCAGCCGATTTTAAAGAACACATTTTGAGGCTTTGTGGACGATTACATTAAAGCGCAATATTTTAAGAATTTGGTTAATTAAAACTATAAAGTATATTCTTTCACATAGCGCTAATTAAATTACCTAAGTGCTATAAACAAAGCTGCTATGAATTAAATAAAAAAAATGGCTAACTTTGTCCCATTTGTCCCAAATTATTTTTAGGACAAATATTTTTTTTTCAACTTAAAAAAAAAATCAAGATTTTTAAATTAACAAAAAAAAATATTGTTGCAAGTAATAGATAGAAAGTTAATTTAATTGTATATATATGCAAAAAATCGATATGTTTTTGCAAAATTTTTCTTGCCTCTTACTTCAGCTCCCGCGAGTTTCAAGACCAGCCGATTTTAAAGAACACATTTTGAGGCTTTGTGGACGATTACATTAAAGCGCAATATTTTAAGAATTTGGTTAATTAAAACTATAAAGTATATTCTTTCAAATACCGCTAATTAAATTACCTAAGTGCTATAAACAAAGCTGCTATGAATTAAATAAAAAAAATGGCTAACTTTGTCCCATTTGTCCAAATTATTTTAGGACAAATTTTTTTTTTGAATTTGTAAAAAACATCAAGATTTTTAAATTAACAAAAAAAAATATTGTTGTAAGTAATAGATAGAAAGTTATTTTAATTGTATATATATATATATATATATATATATATATATATATATATATATATATATATATACAAAAATCGATATGTTTTTGCAAATTTTTCTTGCCTCTTACTTCAGCTCCCGCGAGTTTCAAGGCCGGCCGATTTTAAAGAACACATTTTGAGGCTTTGTGGACGATTACATTAAAGTGCAATATTTTGGAATTTGGTTAATTAAAACTATAAAGTATATTCTTTCAAATAGCGCTAATTAAATTACCTAAGTACTATAAACAAAGCTGCTATGAACTAAATTAAAAGAATTACTAACTTTGTCCCAAATTATTTTAGGACAAATATTTTTTTTTTGAATTTGTACAAAAGATCAAGCTTTTTAAATTAAAAAAAATAATATTCTTGCAAGTAATAGATAGAAAGTTATTTTAATTGTTTATATGCAAAAAATCGATATGTTTTTGCAAAATTATTCAGCAATATTTAAAATTAATTTTCTTAATTTTTTTAATGTAAATAATAAAAGAAGACTTCTTCTTCCAGAAACTACCCTTACAATTACTAAAACTATATAATTTTCTGACTTATATTGTTGCAAAAAAAAATAAAAAAATAATTTGGGATAAACAAATAAAATAACTTTCAATTTATTTGACCGATCACTTTGAAATTTTGACCATATGTTAAGCTCTGCAAGACACATCATTACATGAAATATAAATGTTAGAGGTTTATTTTCAAAAAAGTTATTAACACTTATATAAAACCAAAATTTTCGATAGACGAAAAGAGTGACTATATTCCGCTTTTGGACCTTTATTTGTTAATAACAAACTAAGTCCAAAAGGAAACATATCAATCGTTCGGAAGAAAAAGGTGACATCTCAAAAATGTTCATTTTTCACTTTATTTCATTAAACTGTCTAAAAAGGTGCCTACTACTGGGAACGAATTAAGTTTCGAGAGAATATTTACTACCAGCCAAAAGATGTCAGCATGTAACAGGGATTTTTGCATTTTTCACAGAATATTTTCTACAAAATCGGTATATCTCAATTTGTCATCGATATTGTGGTGTGGCAGTTAAAAAATTTTGGAGAAAAAGGTTACATTCGATATTGTTGCAAAAAATAAGCAGTAAATACATGTAAATTTTACAACAAAACAGATACATCTCAGAATGTTACAATCTTGGATTAAATTAACTGTTTTACGTTTGTAACAATGCCGCAACATTTTGTTTTGTAACAGTTTTGAACCAACTTGTTCAGTAAATTTATTCACATACTATGTAGTATGTCAAAATGTAGCGTTTTTCTTGATTAATTTTTTAATAATTACTGTAAAATAACGACATGTTACACGTTTTAATCAACTTTTGTGTTAAGTTTATTCACTGTTTTTGGTTAATGTGATAATGTATCACTTTTCCTAATACTTTTTGTAATTTTTTACGATAATATATTAGACCTTCAATTATTTACGTGCACGAAAAAAATATTAAATACCTGGTTTTGTTGCAAATCCAGATTATAATATGATTTAAACATTGTTTGTGTGTCCCCATTAAAAGTTCGATTAATAATAAAAAAAAAGCTGTGACGATTTTTTTGACTAAATTAACCAGTTTAGTTAACAAATGAGTTTTGTATACAGTTTCCGAGGGTGTTGGAGTTTTGACCTAATAATTTTTTAAATTTTGGTCTAACAAACAACAATGTTTGTTGCCAAATTAAGGATTTTTAGCGAACTTATTTAATTTCTATCATCACGTAGTCTTAAATATGGCATACACAAACAGAACCCAAAGGATACTTGCCGGGTATAGCAGTGAGAAATTATCAGGTAAATTTATATTATTACATTATATTTCCTTATTGACTTATTTTACTTTAAAGACATACCAGAAATAATGCACAATGAGATCTAAGAACTTGATATATTGAAAAGTAGTGAAAATCGCATAGTCAATAAAGATGCTATTCTTTCAAAGAAAAAAGAGCAAGAAACTTTACATATTCCAATCGTGTCTAATGCAAACCAGAATGTTGAAGTCTTGAAGTGATATTTTTTCTATTAACTTAATTTTGGTTTTAGATGTCCAGAATTGGGTTATAGAAAAAACACAAAATTATTCATTTGCTTCATCTACTAGCAGTTCATCTTCGTCATCGAACTCTTCGTCAAGTTCTTCAACACGTAGTAGTGACTCATTAGATTCTTAAAATGAACCGTTTGGATCTGATGACGGTGTTAAGGATCCATACTATATTAAATCGTAATCAGATTCTGATAATATTGGTTCAAGTAGAGAAGTAGAAAAAATTAAGTTGTCAAAAAAAAGAAAATTACTTGATCCGTATAAAACAGAAAAAAAAACGATTAAGAAATATATAGCTTATGGCTTATGGCAAAAATATATAGCAAAACAGTTGAGAAATAGTGACAAAAGTTAGATTGGCTTAAAATAAATTATACAGAAAATCAAGCCGTATTTACGTTCCCGATCAGTATGCTTGCATTATGAGATCAGCAAAAAAAAACTGGAAAAACATACAAAGTAAACAAACTTTGTTTTAAGGAAATTATGGATTTAAAAAAATTAACTTCTGACTTGTTTGTGAATATCCCTAAAAATGTAAAAACTGCGTCATTTAGAGTAATCAAATTAGAAAACAAAATCCAAACAAATTATTTTATAAAAAATTCTTTTGAAGATACAGATTTCTGCTAAGCGGAAAATATTAGATCGAGAAAAATTGTTAATATAGAACAAATCCAAATAAAAAACGCATATTCCACGAAACCAGGAATATCACACGCAAAAAAACACGTTTGATATCATTAGTCGAACAGAAAAAATGCGTTCCGCCATATTATCTTGATTTTTACAATAATTTGTAATAATTTAATTTAATTCTTTTTATGATTTTAAGTGTGTATTCAATAATTATCAATTAGATTAATAATGTTACAGATTATAAACATTTACTAATTTTTAATTCAAAACCGTTGCATGTATTTTTTTATAACAATAAATAAACAGTTTGAAAAATCACAATTATGTCATTTAATTAAACCCGACTTATTTAAATAAAAAGCAAAAAATTCTATTAATTAATGATTAGGAAATAAAAAAAATAACCCTCAAAAAAACTTAAAACCTTTCTCCTGCATAAGTAGGTTTTTCGAGTTGGAACCCTTTTCTTCCGAACGATCGATATATAGGTTTTTGTTATAGTGGTCCGTACTACTCAAAACAACTGTCGTTTGCCTGGCCGGACGAGTGTCATGAAAAAATGCTTATTTTCCTGGGCTAATTGTCAAACCCGAATAATAATAACTAAACAAAATATTTAAGAGCTAAACTATTATAACAGAAATAACTGAAAAAGTATCACGAATGAATATGAAGAAAAGATCAACATTAGTTTTTTCATATAAAAATAAATAAAAAGTTGACTAGACAAGAAAGTAAAAATTAAAAAATATTCGAGAAATATAGTGAGTTATATACTAACTTTCGGAATTTTTCCAAACTTCCTATCATGCCAACAAAATTTATGAACACATATTGGACCACAAGATATTCTTCAAGAGCTTTTTATGCTATCTATATATGCTATCTTAGTATATTTTAATTAACTACAACAAAGACAGCAAACTTATCAATATCACATAAATATTACAACAATGTTATAAAACGTTCAAGATGCGTTTTAATTAAAATTACTATTATATTGTATTATAAGTATGTAAATTATGTCTTATAAAATTTATCAATGATTTTCAATTATTATTTTAGATTTATTTCGTTACAATAAAGCTGTTTTATATATTAAGGTACAACTTAGATGTTAAAATGTTAAGAAAAGAGCTGTACCTTAATATTTGATAAAATAAAACCATATTGGGATAAAACATATATCATGTTAAGTAAATCCAGTGTGAATTGTTTGAATTGATTAATGCATAAATTTTTTTAACTTTTAAATCCCTAATAACGTTTATATCCGATCGGTACTATCATGTAAAATTATTATTGTGTCGAAATGTTTGAGTGGCAATCGCTGACATTGATTTTTATTGATTGTTCATGATAATAGATAAAAATAAAATACAAAAATAAGTCTAATTGTATCTAATCGTACGATACATACATATTTTCACTTTCTACATAATTTACAATTTGATAAGTACAAAAATCATTCAGCATAGAAAATATAATCCAAATCTTATCACAAGCATATTATCAAGTAATGGAAGTCCTATACAGGAAGTCATCCTCTTCGTTCTCATGCAACTGTCACCAAATATCCGAAATAGTAGGCAAAGCAGTTGCTTCTATATCCTCAACGTACGATCTTCTTATTTTAAAAAGCCTCAAAATGGAGAAAACACTGATAAAAAACACTATAACAGCAGTGGAAGTGATTAGAAGAATTGTGTGAAAGAAATGGCTTCTTTTCTCGCTCTTGTACATCGAGATCTCACCGGTAGAAGCCTCTAGAGACTTCTTTGCATCTCCATTGGCATTCTGCCTCATTAACCCAGTTCCGGACAGTCTCTTATTCTCCACAGAGCCCTCTGACGTGTTTTGGATGACAAACTCAAAATTATGCTCTAACCTTGGCGCGTCGACGTCCTGTTCACAGATCCAGGATTTTACCCAATTAACTAGGGTATCGTTTAATTTATTGCCTCTTATATAGAGCACTTTGAGTTGGGGTAGAAAGAACTGTAAATCTTGTCGGACAAATTCCAAATTCGCAGATGTCACATCTAATTCCTGCAGCCGTTTTGATGCCATTAGGGTGGCTGTGTCGGCTAAAAATTGATGTACTAATCCCGGACTGGAAGATAAGTTAAGCTGCACGACTTGTTCTGGCACAGAAAGGGGAAAGTCTTCTTCTAAACCCATTGGGGTTTTTATAAAAGATAGTCTTAACGTCCTCAGAGATAAGGGACCGGTGAAAATACCTGGAGGGAGATTAATTATAGGATTGCTGGATAAATCCAAGCTTTTTAGCGATAATAAGTCTGTAAAAGCCCCTTCATTTATTACAGTAATGTTATTGTCGTTTAAAAAGAGCGTTTCTAGAGTTCCCAAGCCTTGAAAATCCTTTTTTCTTATGATTCCAATCTTGTTAATACCCAAGTTGAGAAGTTTGAGTTTTTCAGGTAGCCTTCTCGGGATTTCCACGAGTTGATTGTCGGCGAGATAAAGGAAGGACAAAAAATCGAGTCTCCCCAGAGCGTCTTCTTCTATAAACTTTATGACGTTGGAACTGACGTCCAGCGAGTTCAATAAGGGATACGAGTCGAGATCCCCGCCGTTGATTGTCCGAATGAAGTTGACCCTAAGAGTCAAGTGGCGAATGGAGTGGATTAAAATCGCTGGCACCTGTTGAAGTCCTGTTCGGGAGGCGTCTAGGGTCTGAATTTTGCGACCCAAGAAAAAGATATCTCGCGTGTTCGCCAAATCGACGTTACCCGCCATTATTAAAGTCATCAAATTTGTCAGTTCACTTGTCGCTATTCTACCGAGACAGTTACGAGAGACGTCCAAATATTGCAGTAGTTTCAAACTAACAAAAACTTCAGCAGTTAGGGCAATGATTCTATTGGAACTTAGATTCAAATATTGCAAGTTTGGCAAATTTAAACTTGGCACTGCAGATAAAAAGTTATTGGAAATATCTAAAGTATATAAGTCTTTTGAATTTGAAAAACTAGTATCGTTTAGGGTGGAAATAAAGTTCGAACTAAGATTTAACAATTTTAAAGTCCTAGAACAGTCTGAATCGAAATTTGCTAGCTCATTGTTTGATAGATCCAAGTTCTGCACAGTACTAAAGTCGCAAACTATCCCCGGGACACTAGTAAGATTGTTCTGGCTGAGAACAAGAGTTTTAACCCAACTAAACGAATAATTTCCACTAGAATTTAACGAATTGTCACTAGTTTTTATCACTACTGTATAAGGGTGCACAAAACTTAGATTTATATCCGGAAAATCTGACAAAAACTGTTTTATATCTGCGCTAAGGTTAGCATTGGCCGATTCACTTACTTTTAAGCTACTACAATTACAATAATCCGAGCAAAGTGAATTAGCCTGAACACCAAACATGATGACCGAAAATACAAAAATCAACATGTTTCTTTTCACACTACTTTGTTAAAAAAACACTCGTAACTAGCACTTTTAAAGCGAAGAAGAAACATTGTTTATTTCTTTGTAATAGCAGTTTTAGAACCGAAGTTGGACTTTATTTTTTCCGTTTTTCGGAGAATTTACTAAGGGTGCGATGCAGACGGGGTGGTTGCATTCCGTCGACTGATTTGGGGAGCAGTAGTTGCTGACACTCGATGGGTTCACTCATGATGTGCGCGTTTCAGTGCGCTTCGAAGGGTTGTCCCTTTCTGGACGATTTGTAGGCCAGTCATTGACTCGATGTTTCTATTTTTTCGAATAATGCATTCTTGGAAATTATTTATAAACTATTTGTTACGAATTTTAATTTTTTTATTTTCAAATAATGATTTTTAGGAAAGGAAGCCAAAACAACAATTAAAGTATATGAAGGAACAAAATCATTACAAATAAGTAGAGGCGTGAGACAGGGTGATACAATATCACCGAAACTTTTCAATCAGGCTCTTGTAGATATAAAAAGGTATACTCTTGAAGATATAAAAATTTGTGGACAACGCTTGAACCATCTAAGGTACGCTGATGACATCGTATTGATAACCGATAAAAAAGAAGAATTATTTGAAATGATGAAAGAACTGGACGTAGAAGCTGGAAAGATAGGCCTTAATATGAATAACAGCAAGACCAAAACTATAACAAATACAGATGAAGACATCACAATGAGAATCGGACAAGATGAAATAGAACAAGATAAGGAATATATATATCTTGGTCAAACTATAAAACTTAACAAAGAGAACCAAACAGCAGAGATAAAGAGACGTATTAGACTGGCATTTGCAGCATTTGGCAAACTAAGCTACATTCTTAAAAACAAAAGATATCCACAGTATCTTAAGACCAAAGTATATAATCAATGCGTACTCCCTGTTCTTACTTATGATTCCCAAACGTGGACATCTACAACAGCAAACATGGACAAAATCATAAAAACCCAAAGAGCAATGGAAAGAAAAATGTTGCACATAAGACTAATGGATAAGAAGAGAAACGAGTGGATAAGAGAGAAAACAAAAGTGAGGGATGTTAGACAAGAAGTTGTAAAATTGAAATGGAGATTTGCCGGACACAATATAAGACAAAAAGAAGACCGATGGAACAAAATTCTTATAAGTTGGAGACCGTGGGAATATAAACGAAGCAGAGGAAGGCTCTAAATGAGATGGCAGATGATATCAAGAAGCACGTGGGCTCTAGATGGATGACTGTAGCGACAGACAGAAAAGAATGGAAAAGGATTGGGGAGGCCTATGTCCAAAGATTGACCGAAGAAGGCTAATTAGATAGATAGATAGATAGAGATTTTTAAAAATAAACAGACATCCAAAGATAGTAAGGAGCATAATAATTAAGAAAAGAAATCTAAGTAATGTTTGTTTGGCAAAATAAGACTTAACTAAATTGTGCAAGTCAATAACTCAAAAGGACAATCCTACAACTAAAGAATAAAGAATGATTCAATTAATTCTTACTGACAAGAGTTAACAGAGGATGATAGCACTGACTAGTCCTTATGGAAAGCTACTAAAAGACTAAAAAAAATACTTATTATTCTAATCATGAATGTGTTGCTTTTGTGAGTCCATATCAAATAGGTAAAGAAATAATAATAAGACTTACTCACAATCAATTTAATTTAACAATCTGACGACCGGTTTCGCTTTCTACAATTTGCAAAGCATCTTCAGGTCGAGATACAAAGTTAAACTAATGCTGCAATAAAATAACCCAATTAGGGTGGTGTCTCATAAAGATAAAATAAACAAATAAATTAGTTCATACAAATTATAGTAATTATGCCAATATTACATGTCTGTGGTTTTCAAAATGGATAATTTGAATATATAAAAGGTATTAACAGACAAGGTAAGAACCACAATTGGTATAAAGTAGCAATCTTATATTGTAATAAATTAATAAATGAGCAACTAAATAAAACAAAACAAACATTACTTACATGCCGGTACTCTATTAATTGATGGATGGTAGGTCATGGTTGCAAAAATCATGTATTGTTGATTGGAGAACTTTAATGTGCTATTGCAGTTGTTTTGACAATAAACGGGAAGTTCTTGAGGAGAACAGACTAATGTCTCCTTCATTACATAAATACTCAATAAATAAATAACACACATTCCAAAAAATATATCTCTGATATAAGTGTAAATAATTTAAATAATACAATAGTAAAGAACATCACTTTCATCTGACAAACAACCACAATATACCTATCTCTAATTCATTGGATCAAATCTGTTCTCCTCAAGAACTTCCCGTTTATTGTCAAAACAACTGCAATAGCACATTAAAGTTATCCAATCAACAATACATGATTTTTGCAACCATGACCTACCATCCATCAATTAATAGAGTACCGACATGTAAGTAATGTTTGTTTTGTTTTATTTAGTTGCTCATTTATTAATTTATTACAATATAAGATTGCTACTTTATACCAATTGTGGTTCTTACCTTGTCTGTTAATATCTTTTATATATTCAAATTATCCATTTTGAAAACCACAGACATGTAATATTGGCATAATTACTATAATTTGTATGAACTAATTTATTTGTTTATTTTATCTTTATGAGACACCACCCTAATTGGGTTTATTTTATTGCAGCATTAGTTTAACTTTGTATCTCGACCTGAAGATGCTTTGCAAATTGTAGAAAGCGAAACCGGTCGTCAGATTGTTAAATTAAATTGATTGTGAGTAAGTCTTATTATTATTTCTTTACCTACTTATTATTCTCTTCGCCTATTAAACTAGAAAATGGAAATTAGACCAGAAGTAGTGTACAAAAAGTAGAGCTTTTTGCTACATATCTTGAAAATACATTCAAACTTAATGCATGTCAATATGATAAAGAAAGATTAACCTGTAACCTGTTCAATTGGAGGAAGAAATTTGACCAACTACACTAAAAGAAGTGCCTGTTAAAATAAAGGAGAATATTAAAAAAGCTACGGGCTATAATTTAATTACGAGTGAGCTACATTCAGAATAAAATATCTACCAATGATATGGAAAATACCGAGATAATTATGATTTCTAAACCAGAAAATCCAGTAAGTACATGAGGTTTCGTCATACAGACCGACATCTCTGCTTCCGAATATATATATTATATTATATATATATATTATATATATATATATATATATATATATATATATATATATACATATATATATATACATATATATATATATATATATATATATATATATATATATATATTTATATATATATATATATAAGCTCCTTGGGAAACTTCTCAATAGAATTAAACCAATTATTGAAGCAAAAAATCTGATTTCGACACCTCAATCTGGTTTTAAGAACTTAACAATCGACCAGGTGTACAGAGTCACAAGTATTATCGAAAGATCGCTGGCAGTTTTTCTAGTGTTTTCCTTGATGATGTATAGTCTTTCAATAAATTTCGGTTTATTAAATAAATTACAGCTTTTTACCCAAACAGTATCCACAACTTTAACGAACGGCATTTTAGACTTAGGCATAAAGACTGTTTTTAGACTAAAGAATAATTAGAGCAGGTCTTCAACAAGGCAGTGTGTTGGATTTGGTCCGATATCCACTATACACGTGTACTATACCAATACTGGAAGAAGACAACACAGTTAACACCTTTGCCGGTGATACGGATATCCAAGCACTAGGGACATGTATTAAAGAGGAAATCAACAACGTCCAAATAGCAGTTAACCAAATCCATAAATAGACAAAAAAATGGAGAATCAGGCTGAATAAAGCTATGTCTGCTAATGTTAATTTTATCAATAAAAAATACAATACATATGAGTTATAATCAACAATATCCAATTACCATATATAGATACTGATAAGTATTTAGGTATAATGGGATAACTAGATATAAGGTATAAAAAAGTATTGGCTAGTTGGAAGAAACTTCAATTTGTTAATCCATAACAAGTTACTACTTTACAACCAAATATTGATACTTGTATTGACCTTAAGTATGCCCACTATAATAGTGTGCTAGACCAAGCAAAATAACAATGGTACAAACATTAGACTACTTGGAAACATTACAGATAATCCTAGATGATCCTTAGTACGTGGCAAATAGTAACCTTCATAACGATCTAGGAATGGAAGCTGTAAATATAATAAGAAAGAAGATGACAGGAAGTCACGAGCAACGACTTCATAGATACAAGAATATTGAGGCAATCTAGCTCGTTGGGCATACTACTGGGCAACCTAAAAGATTGAAGAGGAAAAGCCCAAGACTAGAGAACTCATAGTGCTTGTGCGGGTGTGTATGTTATGATTAGTGACTAAAACGTTATGTACCAAATTGAAATAGCTAGAAGTTTATTTAATCCTACAGTTAATCCTACAAAGGAAGATCGAAGGTAGGAGAGGAGCCGGCCGCAAACAATCATCCTGGTTAAGGAATATTAAAGAATGGACAGGAATACACAATACAGGTGAGTTGTGTCACGCCGCCAAGAACAGAATTCTAGTAATGAGATAGTCGCCTACGCACTTTGGTGTATGGCATGTTAAGAAGAAGAAGAAGTTCATTGCTAAAAATGAAAGGTTCTACTTATCCTCCACTTCACTTTTAAACTTATGTTGTTGGTGGTTTTAATTTTTTATTGGTGAAAGCTACCGCTAAACAGCGCAAGATATGGGTTGCTACAATTAATTTTACAATGAAAAGTAGTAAGAAAACGACGACCAGAAAGGCCAAGGATGTCCTAGCTGAAAAATCTAAGTACATGGTTCAACGCAACAACCACAAATCCTTTCAGAGTAGAATCTAGTGCAAAAATTTAGATTTCCATTATGGTCGTCGAAACATAACAGCACTACAAGAAGAAAAATGGATAGGTAGCAATAATATTAACAAAAATTCAGTTCCAGGTTCTTCCAAACAATTTTAAAAAAATTAAAATTTTTTTTTTGAAAATTGCTAAAAAAATTTGCTCACGAATAGTATAGAATTAGTTCCAAAGGCCTGCGTGACCTTGAAATTGTTTATATTGTTTATTTTATTGGGTTTTGCTATGGTCGGTGCTACAAACAAAAATATTCATCATTATTTAAAAGAGTTCTTCTTCTTATTTTAGTGCCGTCTCCACTAATGACTTAAGGTTGGCTATAACCATTGCAAATTTGTCGCTTTTCTTAAGAGCGTCTGTGTGTTTCCCGGTCCAGTCGCGAATGTTCTTCAGCCAGGATATTTGGCGTGTACCAAGATCCCTTTTCCTTCGATTTTACCCTTCAAAATTAGCTGCAACAACTCGTACTTATCATTTCTAAGTATGTGCCACAAACATGCTGTTTTTCGCCTTTTAATGGTGGTCAAAAGTTCTCTGTCTCTTCCTATTCTGTTCCATTTCGTTCGTAATATGATCGGTCCATGGCATTTTCAAAATTTTCCTAAAAAGCCACATCTCAAAAGCTTCCAGTTTTCTCATTATTGTCAACAATAACAGTCCAGTCTTCGACACCATAAAGAGCTATATAGTGGATATAACTAGTGGATATACTGGCGTCAAACAGCGACAGCTTGCATAAACGGAAAATCAACAGAAATATGTAAAATACAAAATGTGTCAGACAGGGTTGTATACTATCCCCACTGTTATTTAATTTATATTCAGATAGAATATTTAAAGAAGCGCTGCATAATTTGGAATGGGGCGTGAAAGTTAATGGAATTCTGATAAATACAATCAGATATGCAGACGATACAGTTATTTTAAGTGACGACATGAATGGATTACAATGCCTTTTGAATGCCATTGATAAAGTGGGAAGAGAGTATGGCCTAAACATAAAATGTTCAAAAAACAAAACACATGGTGTTTAGCCGTTTAGCACATCAAGATGCACGATTATATGTTGATGGTCATATAATTCAAAGAGTGTCCAGTTTTAAATATCTTGGTTGCCATATTACTGAACAACTAGATCCAGATCAAGAGATAAATGTAGAATCGAGATAGCCCGCACGACATTTTTAAAAATGAGGTCATTCTTCTGCAATGATAACTTGCAACTTCAACTTCGAAAGCGCATGATTAAATGCTACATTTGGTCAGTCCTCTTATACGGTGTCGAAGCATGGACATTAAAAATATCCACCATTAATCGTCTGGAGGCCTTTGTAATGTGGCTGCGCAGACGTATACTAAAAATTCCATGGACGGCTATGCTGACAAATGTGGCAGTCCTTGAGAGAGCAAATGCTGCTCGCGAGCTGCTTGATAACATCAAATGTAGAAAGGTGGCCTATTTTGGACACGTAGTAAGGGGAGACCGATATAATATTCTTCAACTTATTATGATGGGTAAAATCGAAGGACGCAGAATAATTGGTAGAAAGAAGGCCTCTTGGTTGAAGAATATCAGGGAGTGGACAGGAATAAAGAAAGCTGAGCAACTATTTAGAATAGCTCGAGACAGAAACAGTTTCGCCATGTTAATCGCCAACGTCAAGGGGACTTGATAGGGCACGTTAAGAAGAAGTGGATATAACATTTTACTATCCGATATCGGATTTTCAGATTGAGTCTTAGAGTTGATTACTCAGAAATTTCCTCATCTTCAAAAAGGCCGCTCTTGATTGCTCTATTCTTGAGCTATTCTCTTCTTAAAAAAATATAATTAATTAAAAGTAAAAAAGGATCAAAAAATTCAAAAGTCCGACATTTTGTTTTTTTTTTGTCTCGGTGAAATGTTTCATTTTAGTTCCGACTATAGCCAACTCGATATAGAATATGAAACCATTTTGGTTTTTGCTTTCAAATTATTGGTTTCCAAAAGGTGATTATACCTATCAATAAATTGGGCGAGTTTGGGCAGCCATTTTTAGAGCCGCCATTTTGAAAAAGAAGAACATTATTTTCAAGTAGTTTAGTGCATGTACTTCCACCCGTAAAAAATTTGATGTTGAAATATATTTTGTACTATAAATAAAATGTATTAAAAAAAAACACGATGTTTGAAGAAACCTGTCTTTTTAACGCAATATCGTTAAAATATGTGTAATTTAAATGAAGGTACTCGAGATAAAGATAAAAATAAAAAAGATAAAAAATTGTTGTAAAAAAAATATATAAAAATTACAAAAAAAATTAGCAATAGCAGTTCTTCGAACAGTTTTATACAACAAAATGAAACAATTTTTAGTGCTTTTGGCTTTGGCTAGTGCCGTGGTGGCAGTGCCATCAATTCAGTTGGAAAATTCAAATACAATTTTGCAACAGTTTGGTGAGTATAATTATTATATTTACATTTGTATACTATCATTAAGAAAAAACATATAAATCATTTTGATCAATTTTGAGAACCAACTATAATCTTTTTGCCTTTATCACTCTATGGTCACCATCCCATAATTAAGTTTGTCTATATATTTATATCTTGGGTAACACCAATATTAAGTTTCGTCTTTTTTTCTCTTTCATTTTTTGTACGTATTTATTTCCACTGCTCTAAAGTACCGATTATAACCAATATCTAGAAACAATGCTTTTTAAAATCCTTTCACCATTCAAATTATCTTCCAAAATTATATAAATGCCACTTTCGAATGCCTATTAAACAATCTTAATTAATGAACTAGTGATTTTGTTCGCTGGTTCTACTCGTTTTTTGTCAAATGCTTCATTTATAAAGATATCAAAGTATTTCTTCTAAAGTATTTTCATATCATTTTCGTTGCATTATTATCAGTTCATTATGAGCTAAATGCTTTCTCACAACAATCCTGAAATTCCTGTGTCTGAAAACTCTTTTACATCCTTTAACACCGATATATTTTATGTCACTCAAATTTACCTGATATTTAAGTTTATCTTACCACATTGGTTACCTTATGGAAGTATTCACTTTTTATTACATATGTTAATGCAATTTGCCTTGCCTTTCTATTGTTCTATAGATAGATCGGTTATTATAAGCCAATTTTCACGCTCTTGGTTTCCCATACCATAGTTCTTCTTCTTTTTTGTGTGCCGTGCTTGTTTTCAAGCGTTAGCTATCATCATATTAACAAGCTGATGAAATATTTCTCGATCTGCAGCTAGATGAAACAATTCCTCGACAGCTCGACCTGTCTATTGTCTAATGTGACGCAGCCAGGACCGTTCCTTTCTTCCGACAAAGCATTTTCCTTTGATTTCCCTGATTCCTTTGATTCCTTTTATTTTCTTTGATTCCCTAAATAATCAACCGAAGTAAGCGATATTTAGATCCTCTTATTATATGGCCGCAGTATTGGACCTTTCTTATTTTGATGAAGTTGATCAATTCTTGCTCTTTGTGCATGGTATCTAGCACATCGTTAGATATGTGTGCTGTCTACGGGATTCTGAGCATGCGACGGCAACACCACAAGCCGAGCGCTTCTAATTTATTAAGATTTTTTATTTATGTTGTCCAGGTTTCACATCCATAAAACAAAGGGGACCAGACACTTTAATACTCTTATACATGTGGTCAATGACAGACTTCTACTGCACAAAGTGCACAATACAGAACACCAGTTGATAAAGTTTTTCGTATAATTTTTATTCGGGTCGAAATTTCCTCGTCACTTTCAACCCTGCAATCAATCCACTCGGTCTTGACCATACGGTCTCAATCATTCTGCTTATGTGGTTATTCGATTTTTTTTTTCAATTTAGTGTCAATTCGTTTATACACTGTATGTTTTCTTCTTTCTGCAATTCTTCTTAGTAGTCTCACCTCTGCCATTTCCAGTAGCCTTTGGGTTGTGACTGTATCGAGTCTTGTTTCTGAGGCATATGTCGTTATTGGTCTTACACGGGTTTTATATCTCTTTCGCATATATACTGTTATTATGACATCCTGCCAGTCTATTTGCTTTTTGTACTTAATCTCTCACTTCTTTATCTACTTCTCCATACATGTAATTTTAAGTTCATCAATTTCTGTATTACTTCTCATTGGTTCTTTACTAATTACTATTGTTTTAGCATTGTGAGATAAACTTGTCATATTAAATTCTTTTGCTCTTATGTAAAATTTGTGGACCAGTCTTTGCAGAATATCTTCACCTTGAGCTATCAGTTTAGCGAGTATCTATAGTACTCTGTAATTTTTATTTCTTTGTATTTCATTCTGTATCCTCTTCCTTTGTTGGTACTTTTGATGATTTTATCCATTATTAAACTGAAGAGCATAGAGCTCAATGAGTTCCCCTTTCTTATTTTGTGGCCTATTTTTATAGATTCTGTAAGTTGTTTATCTATTCTGACTTCCATTTTCTTGTTGTGCTAGATATTTTTAATATTTTTTTTAAACGAGATTATTCCTGCTAATTTTGATATTTCAAAACTCAATTCAATCTTTCGCGTTTGAGTTTAAGGATGAGAGCAAATTTTTATAAAATATGAATTAATTTCGCATTTCCACAAAAGATTTCTGCGGTTAGTACAATTCAACCTAGAGCGAAGATTAATAGTATAACCCGAAATAATATGAAACTCAACTGTCTTCCGGGTTGAACCCAATCGATTATCATTTTGCCGAGCTTTCGAGATCTTCTTTGATGACTTCTTCAGGGCTTCGGAGGTCTCAGACTACCGAGCCCCCAAACACTACTACATTGATCAATAACCAAAGCATTACTGCCACTGGGAATAGAGGACAGTTTATTTATATCGTTGATGGTGACTTGGTTTGGGTGGAGGATGACGTGTGGGTTAGCGTCGGTATAGGCGCAAGGATTGGTGAGGGGGTTGGCGCAAATATTTCCAACAGTAGGATTTTGATTCGCGGGTGAAGCGAACGATATTTTCTTAGTGAGAGGTCTCTATGTCGAATGTAACCGTATGACGTCATCTCTTTTATTGAGACAATTTGGCCTTTTTTTGATTTCTACGGCTTGTCAGTAAATTTTTGATTTATACAAGCAAATGTGGCTGAAGTTTTCAAAATCAAGTTTGTGACCTCTGTGAAGATGGTGTTGACCTAGAACTGAAATGGAATCGGAATTGTGAACAAAAATGGAATGTTCATAAATGATTCATTGCTACCAGCGCCAGCCTCTAGTTCAAATATATTTACTTTCATTCTACTTACTCCACTTTCGAAGGAAAGGATGAAATCACGAATTTAAGATTGGATTCGACCTTCCAAAAAGAAACAGAACAAGAAATCTCTATCGCTTAAAGTGGACTGAAATAAACATCTACCTTACCACTTGGTTTGTTTGCTTCAGTTGAGACTCAAAATATAAAAAAAAAAATATAGAAAATATTTTATTTAGCTATTAGAAATATCTTTCACTATTGACACTCAGTTTTATTGTGTTTTTTTATTGTAGAAACTGAGGAGCAATTAAGAGATTTTATTGGCGATATTATCAACAGTACACTAAATGGAGCCATTGCAAAGATGGCTGATCCCTTACCAATTGCTGATATACACATGGACCAGAACACTGAAGCTCTCTCGTAAGTTTTTTCTTTATTATAATTAGAATTTGGAAAAAAATTAAATTCAAAGTTTTGAAACAAGTTTGAATGAATGCTGGTCTCATAGTTAGCATGTTTCAAGTTCTACCGTTTTTAAAACATGTTTTTCGTATAAAACAAGAACTAATGGACCGATTGAAAATCAATGACCACGTTCAATCACGAAACAATATTACCTATAAAGATGAATTATTGTGCAAAGGAAAATTGTGCAAACTCTAGTAATATTGCTCCGATCTACTTCAAATTGTTTTTTATTGATTATTGAATAAATACAGTGTTTTATTTTTTGAAATAACAAGAACTATGTACAAAGTTCATTATACTTAAAAAAGTAACATTATTAATAAGCTATATCAGTGGTCGCCAACCTCTTCAATGTGTTGAGCTACTTTGTTAATTTTGGAATAAACAGCGAGCTACCCACACGGAAGCCACGTAACGCAACGTAAATGAAATAATCCACAGTTAATCTATCATTATATGTATTTATTTTACTGTTTAACTGATAATACATAATACATAGGTACTAAATTAATTACTATTTAACTGGGAATAAGCCACAATTAAAGATAAAAATTAAAAAAAACAACGTTTATTGACGTTTCAATTTCCACTTCGGAAATCGTTCTGATATTTTGAGAACGATTTTCGAAGTGGAAATTAAAACGTCAATAAACGTATTTTTATCTTTCATTGTGGCTTATTCCCAGTTAAATAGTAATTAATTTAAAATGCCACAAGAAAATAGCTTCAGAACAATACATAGGTACTAATAATAAACTAATAACAAAAAAGCTAATATTACTAGTACATACTTGTTCATAGCTATATTCCTACCTATCAAACCTGTTTTATCATTTCCCCGTCTTCATAAAGTTTCTTTTTTTGTGCAATTATCTGGGACACACGGTACGATGCTTCAGTTGCAGCCTTATTTTTGTCGACTGTTCTTAAAAATATTGATTGTTGTCCAATTAACTGTTTTTTTTAAACTATATCAGTTTCTCCTTTCTGGCGGCAGAATGTAGTGGGATGATTTTTCAAAATTAAAATATACAGTTTTATAATGTCTCTTAATATTTCCTTTTTTAGCAACGGAGACCGAAGTATTACATAACAAAACACACATTCTTCCCATTCCGAATGAAAGTGGTATGTCTTTACCTTCTTACAACTGCTTGCCATAATATTATTTTTGTTGTTCTCTATCAACCCAACTGCTGGACGTTGGTTACGCGTTCAGTTTTAAACTAAGCGCAATGTCGCCGCGCCGTGCGTATTTATTCCGTTCAAAGCAATCCAGATCGTTCTCGAACACTAACGCGCTGGTCCGGCTGGTCGGTTCTATAAATAGCCGATTCTAGCTTGACGGCGTCAGGGGCAGATCGCTCACCGCACGTTGCCGCTGTTTATGTTTATTATTATGACAATTTTTTTATGGAATTTTCGGAAGCTTCTCTGATTGTTGCAGTTTGTGTTTTTTAAATTAAAATCGTTGTGAGAGCTACCAGAATTGCCCCCGCGAGCTACCGGTAGCTCGCGATCGACAGGTTGGCGACCACTGATCTATATATAACTATAAGATGAGCTGTATTTCAAAACCGTCACAAACCAAAATTTATATAATTTGTGCAAGGTGTTTTCGAGATTATTGAGACGTTTCATACTTAAAGCTCACTCTATATACAACGAATATAGAGTGAGCTTTAAGTAGGAAATGTTTTATTATCGTGATATAAGGTTGAATGCTCGAATAGCTAAACTTTTACCAAATAAAAGGCAGACATCAAGCACTGTTTTTTATTAATTAAATCTTGCCCAAGTACTTTCGCTTTCTAGAGCATCTTCAGGAGAATTTGGCCTATCCAACAATCTTTTAGAATGTCATAAACATAAAATTGTACATCAACACTATACGACACAACAACAACTAGTTAAATTTTTTTAAGCGGCGAAGCTACATATTGATTGACATCAGGAGAGATTTTCTGTTGTGATGCCAATCAACACAAGCAAAGGACACAAGGACAAACAGTTTAAATGTTTTTTTTAACGGCAAAGCTACATGTTCATTGATATGTAGCTTCGCAGTTTAAAAAAAAATTTAACTGGTTGTTGTTGTGTCGTATAGTGTTGATGTACAATTTTATGTTTATGATATTCTCAAAGATTGTTGGATAGGCCAAATTTGACGAAATGCCCCTGAAGATGCTCTAGAAAGCGAAAGTACTTGGGCAAGATTTAATAAATAATCTGTGCTCGATATCTGCCTTTCATTTGATCAAAGGTAATTCTGTATTATGTATATACATATATTATTTCTATTAAAAACATTAAAATTTATTTCAGTGGAACCATTGATCTTAAAGACATTACTGTCTCTGGTGTACATAAGATAGTATCCACTGCCGTATCAACCAATCTCATCACGCAACAACTGAACATATCAGTTAAGATTCCTGATCTTACTCTCAACTTCGGAGCTGACGTCAACGTCGTGGTTATGGAGCTAGTACCACTCTACGGCAGTGGAAAACAAAAGTAAGTGTAGTGCCATTATTTTCTTTAATACAATAGTATGTTTCGTGAACATAATACGAGTATTTTATTAATTTAAATACAATGACATCTTTCCTTGGAAGATCTTTGGTAAATATAAGAACATTTTTCATACAAACTTGCAGAAAGTATTCGCTACTACTTATGTATTTTCAAGCATAGTTTGTGTAATAAGTATTGTCTTGTTACTATGTAAAACAAGCTTCGTTGTCTTTTTGGGCTTCTCGAGCAAATACCGACCCATTTGAAATATTTTTAATAAGAAAAGCTCGTATCCTTAATTTTCGTTTAAAATCCACTAGGAGACTAAGTTCCTGTAGCTGGCTGTATACCATATATCACAAAAATTTATATTTCAAATCCTTTATAAAAGGTATATAATAAAATGTCCAAACGGGCTATCACAATTATATTACGCAACGTTTTCGGAATGTTACTTCCATCATCAGTGTAAACCTGAAAATATATAACCACTTTAATTAAAAAGAACGTTGAATTTAAAATATTGACTAAGGTTAAAGCAAAATGTGGTTAATACTTACGGGGTATACATGCTATGAGCCACAAAAATATATGGGTCAAAACCCGTTAAATGTTATAAATTTATAGTTGTTCTACATTATATATAATTACAAATTAGGATATTTAAGTTACCGTTGGAATTGGTAACATGGCGACGTATGACCCTACATAATTTAAATGGTCCTAAGACGAAGTGTTTTCGAGGACCTGTTGATAACAACTGATAAAATTGACATTGTTGACATGTTAGAATTGATGTTGTGTCAGAGCAGTCAGTGTAACTTACGGTAGTTGTCTAAAAATGACAGGAGCCAGCATTATTTAACTTTTTCAATTTTATTCTACTATTCGTTTGATAGAATTTAACCAATGTAAGTTTTTGGGCAATCACCACTTGCAAGTTTTGTATAAATCACTGTTTAAGTTCTTTTTCATTTTGGCTATTGTTGTTCTTAATAAACACGTGGACAAAAATATGGAATATTTTGGAATTTTCCAATTATTGTTTGGTCACTATTATTTCAAAATATTTTTTAGATTACTGATATTACCCATAATATATTAGGTCAATGTACTCAATAAGTTTAAAATATTTGACGTTTATTCAGCATTTAGTGTCAGTCGTACATTCTGTCATAAAAATCAAATAAAAAAATCTATCATAAAAAACCTTCATGTAAAGGCAAAACCATAGATAGTAATTCGATTATTTTTAGTTTAACTTAATAAGTTGAATTAAATATTGTTTTGATTTAACTAAGTTTAAAGTAATTATGTCACCAATTCAACATTGCGATAAAGCCCAAGTGGCACAGATTTTAATGTTGAACGAGAAAGAATATACACAAAAAGATATCGCACGACATCTCTGGAGAAGTCATTCTACAGTTTCAAATACTTTGAAAAGGTACCACGATACAGGAAATTTTGTACTAAAGCCTGGTCAAGGATGCCCAATGTGCACAAACGCAATTGATGACGGTTTTTTTGTTCTAATTCTACACGAAATCCCTCAGTGACATGGATATACCTCAGAAATGAGCTACTTAATGTAAGACAAGTTACTGTGAGTTCAAAAACAGTTAGTCGAAGATTAAAAGAAGCAAAATTAAAGTCAAGATGCCCTGCCAAAGTAACACGTCTTCCCCTAAATCATAAAGCTCGTCGTTTAAAATTTGCAAGAACATATATATTCAGTGGAATATCGACAACAGGAAAAACGTTCTTTTCACTGATGAGACCAGAATCCTATTATGGAAGCCAGATGGTCGAAACCACGTCTACAGAAGAGTTGAAGAACGTTTCGCCATCTGCAATCTCGCCCATACCGTTAGTTCTGGAGATGATGGCATAGGGCTCTGGAAGATATTACATGAGAGGGACGCACCGCATTTGTGGAAATAATTGGACGGATGACTGGTGATACTTCGAAACATCCTGAAAGGTCATGTTTTGCCATATGTTAGTTACATTGGATATGATAGATTCATGTTAATGCAGGATATTGCTTGACCACATGCCGCTGCCATAGTGAGTAATTATCTTGATGAGGTCCAAATTCGAAGATGGATTGGCCACCATTTAGCCTGGATTTAAATCCAATGGAGCACATGTGGTATCAGCTAAAACGCCGAATACAACAAACAAATCTTGTTCCAAATACGATAGAGCAGATTCGGCTTGCTGCACATAATAAATTGAATGCAATTCCCCATGGATATGTCCAAAATTTCTGGCAAGCATGCCGAGAAGGATTCAAGCAGTAATAAGAGCTAGAGGGAGGAATACTCAATATTGATCATGCAGTTGTTTCAATTAAAAAGACTTGTTTAAGCAATTTAAATTCGCATTTAAGTTTTTCGTAAAATAACTTATTTACCTAATATTAAACATTATATTTTTTTGCAGTTTTCTCCGCATAAAAAGTTAAAGTTCTTAATTAAACATTGCTAAAATAAACTTTTTTTCACAATAAGAAATTTATTTTCAAAAAAAAAAAAATTAGAATAGTCCAAAATATTCGATATTTTGTTCATGAGTGTATATTTACTTAAGTTCTTGTTTGTTATGAGTTAAGTTGGTGTTATTCATTTCCCTTTTATGTGTTTGGCTGTTGTAGTTGTATTTTTTTCTTGTGTAGCTTATATTTAAATGTAAAGGATTAAATTCACCGTTTTTTAAGCATTTTTCAAATGCCTCATTTATCTTGTCAAAACTAACAATCAAAATTTCATATTATAAGTTTTGCAAATTCAGCTCTAATAATGTTAATTCCACAAGCGACGGGTCAATAGAAGTGATATATTTTATTGGTGTCATGAGAATCGTAAAAAATTGCAAAAACCGGAAGCTTTATTTATTTAACAGCTTTGTAGAAAGTGACTTCATTAGTGGCAAAATAAAACATTGCATACCAAAGCTACACTTTTCACCTTTAAAATGCATTTTGATTTTTGTCGATAGGATAATCTGATCAAAAGATATCGAATTTTTTCCGCCGAATTGATAAAATTGATTTTGCGTACATAACTGACGCGAGAGATTAGTTCATTCTACTGAAAAAATCCTAATTAACATTTTTGTTGAAAATTATCTCAGCTATATTTCTTGTCTACAATATTTTGTTACGACGTACAGATTCTCGGTAAATCCACCCTACGAAGGGGGATTTTAGGGATAATCCTAGAAGTAGTAGTGGTAAACTTTTTTTTTATCTTTTTAGAGTACCAAAATTCTCAGCAAAATTTAGCTTGTTCGTATGATTTTTAGAGGTCAAATCTCAGCGGGACTAAGATTCGTATTTTAGTGATTTATATTTTGAATTTTATTTGTTTTGCTATTAACTACCAAGGTCACAATTTCGTCAAGAGTCGATTAAAAAGCAATAAGAAAACAGATGAGACAGATTCTATCTCAATAACATTACAAATTATTTATAATTTTGATGTAATTGGTGATAACAATAATCAACGTTATCAAAAACACAATACAAAAATTATTTGGTTATCTGTACACATATTTGTTCAAATGAATGGAGATAGTCGATCAACAAATTGTTTATTAATACGCAATTGATTGACTTTTTCATTTATAAATGGCCACATTATACAAGTTTTCTGTTTTTATTCTTCTTCTTCTTATTTTTATATAGACATGACTTTGTCTGTTTTTCAAGGTGCCTCTAGTAAGTTGTCATTCCATCGTTTTCGTGATCCTCTTCCTATTGGGAAACCGTCTCTTGCCATCTTTACTACTCTATTTGTTGTCATTCCATTTATATGATCGTTTTATTCTACTCTTCTATTTCTTACCCAGTTCTTGGTGTTCTCCACCTTGCACCTACGTCGTATATCTGTACTTCTAGCTCTGTACCATAGTGTCTTACCATCAATTTTTCTAAGTGTTTTGATCTCTACTGTTTCTCTTAACTCATTACGGACGAGCACAAATCATAACAAAGCTAAGGACAATGATAAGGCTACAAAAAATGCGTTTGCTAACAAAATATACAACATTGTTGCACTCACCTCATGTGGATTTGGTATTGCTGGTACATTCTCGTTTCTAGCAGATACATATTGTTCACCTGAATTTTTCTGACGCTTAAGGATGTTTCTCTTCACTGGTTAATATTGATTTTGCGTTTTTTACCTCTATTTATATGTAAAAGGGTAGACAGCGACATGTTAACCTCTATTTTCTTCTTCTTCTTCTTCCTTTATTGGGTAATATCTCAGGGGATAATTTGCCCAGCTAACACTAAATTGAAATTATTTTATATTGAATGAACACTATGTCGAAACTTCTTCTTCTTGGGCCAAACAGTTAGTATAGGAAAGTCTATTCAACACAGGATAAAACTTTTCTCGCTTGGAGGAACAACCAGTCTTTTTCTGCATAGTCTTTTTTGATGAAGTCCTCAGAGTTCCACAGCAAACTCTTCTGCAGCTATCTACTTAATTCAATAGCTACTTTACTGTGGACTGTCAAGTTCCTCTTTTTTCTTTTTTTCTACCAACAGATGATAGAGAACCCAGGTGGAAAAAGAGAATAATTTGTAAGTTTGTGTTATAGTAGATAAGATAGGAATATATAATTATAGATTGATTTTGGCTAGATTAAGAAAAGTAATCAATAAATTGAGTCTTTGAGGATTAAGATTGGATAGGAAAGAGCATATCTCTATAGGAGTTTGTAGTTTTGTTTTAACCAATTCTTTGTAGAGGTCAAAATTTGGAGAAACGTTTATTGGACACTCTAGGATAATATGATTCAGAGATCCAATTTGACCACATTCACAGTACGGGTTGTCCTTAATACCTATGCGGAATAAATGAACGGGAGTGGAACAATGTCCTGTTCTCATTCTAATTACTGTGGTGATATGCCTTCTGTCTTTATAAGGAAATTGATTGAACCATGGTGATTTGTTCCATGTATTGACTATTTTTCTATAAAAC